GGAGCCCGATGCGGGACTCGATCCTGGGACTCCAGGATCATGACCTGAGCCGAAGGCAGTCGCTTAACCAACTGAGCCACCCAGGCGCCCCAAGTATAAGGATTTCTTTTATCACCTATGGCTGAGATCATCCCAAACCACATTTAGTAGATCAGTCTTGGACGTACTGAATTACAAAATCCTCTAATTAGGTCTGGACTGTGAAGCCAAGGTGTGGATGGAGAATGGGCAGGACTGGGACAAGGAAAGGGATGACCTCAAGGAGGACTGCAGGTGCTCTGACCCCACCCATCCTCACCCCCACTGCAGTGCTCCCGTCTGGGAAGCCTTCCCTTCCCACACAGCGGAGGTTGCCTGGGTCTGAATCCCACAACTTCCGGAGGGTGAGACCCTGGGCAAGCTCCTTAACCTCTCAGGGCCTCAAATTACTCATCTGTAAAATGGTGGTCACAGAAACAAGAGTAGCATCTCAAGGGGTCCTACAAGGATTAAAGAAACAAAGATGGGCAAACTGCTTAGAGTGGTGCCTGGCTCCCAGTACGCTATTCACAGACGGAGAGATGGTGGTTGTTTTTGTATCATTCCTGTTGTTATTCAAGAGAAACCTAATGATATCTTTATGACCTATTGGGATAACAAAACCTCCACGCAAAAGGACCTGGAGGAAAGGTTGAGAATTCAGGAATGAGAAAAATTCCAAAATATATTGTAGAAGTTTTCTATTAATTTTTTTTTTTTTTTTGGCTTAAGGCACTCTGAATTAGCTTTCAATTTTTCCCAACAACAATACAAATTGCTAATATTTTGATGCTGGTTGCCTCATAATAGACCTAAGAGTGAAGCAGAAGAGCCAAGGCTTCCTTGGGAAGCCCCTGAACCCTCGCTCAGAAAATGGACTGAAAACTGTCCTCGATTATCTCAGGATTGTGTTATGACCCTGTCAATGCCGGGGTTTTAGGAAATTTCCAGGGAAAGGCCAGGGTTGGAGTATGTTGCATACTTCCTGCTACTATAGTAAGGTCGTATAGGTAACAAGTAAGCTGAAAGCAAAGAAGGAACAGCACAGCATCCTATTAAGAGCAGTGAAGATTTCTTCCTGTATCTTGTGATCCAAGATGCTAAATGATTAGATGGGGAAACACAGAAGGACAGTCAGAGAAATAAATAGTGGAGCTTGGTTCCTAACCCTTCCATCACAAATTCTGAGGAGCACCATCAGCCCAAAGGAGGTAAGAAGAATCCTCATTGTAAGGCTCTCTCCACTGGGAGGAAAGGTATTTATTGTAATATGTGTAATACTTACTCACTTTGTCAAGTCAATAAAGTGGAAATGCTTAGATAAGTAAATATTACCCATTGAAGTGAGAAAAGGTGACCACTCCAAGTCAAACCCGTGGACTCCCGATCCAGCATAGGGCTTCAAGGGCTCAGAGTCCTTGTTTGCAACCTCACTCGAATGGCAGAATCACTGCCATGTCACAGGAAAAGAACCCCAGAATACTCAGTAAGTCAAACTGTGAAAGAGCAAAGGACTTCCAGGACTGGCTTTATCAAAATAAGATTTATTAACATAGTCCCTAAGAAAATATGAATGCACCAGTGACTGGAAAATGATTTCTCTTTAGTGGCCAATAAATACATTCATATGCTGTTAATTTAATTGAATATTACATTTAAGGGAGAATTTGTTTCTTGCCTTTTCCAGTACCCAGAGGCCACCTGCATCCCTCTATTTTTAAAGCCGGCAGCATAGCATCTGCAAATCTCTCTGTACCTGACCTCTGCTTCCATGGCTGTATCTTTCTCTGACTCTCCCCCCCCTCTTATAAGGACTCATGGGATTACATGGGATCCACCTAAATATCTAGGATAATCTCCCCATCTCAAGATTCTTAACTTAATCACATGTGCAAAGTCCCTTTTGTCATATAAAGTGACACATGCATAGCTCTCAGGGATTAGGATGTGAAGTTCTTCGGGGGGGGGGGGTCATTCATTTGTCTATCAGTAATGCCCTCCAGGTGCACCTGGATGGCTCAGTCGGTTGAGCATCTTGGTTTTGGCTCAGGTCATGATCTCAGGGTCCTGAGTGTTGGGCTCTGAGCTCAGCAGGGTGTCTGCTTGAGATTCTCTCTCCCTCTGGCCTTCCCCCTGTTTGCATTCTGTCTCTCCACCCCCCACTCAAAATAATAAATATATCTTAAAAAAAAAATGCCTACCCCATGTTCTTCCTCTAAAAACACTTATCAATGGATCTTTCTCTAGCTGCTAAGATTCATGGGGATAGTATTTACATCTGTGGACTTTCACGGCATTGGCTGTGGGGCAGTGGTATGCTGATAAACATTTAATGAGCTTTCCAAAAAAAAAAGGACTAAAAGGGCCCTGAATTGTAGCTTTTGCAATTTCTATGGTTTAAATACTTTCATCAAGGCCAATTTCAAGCTAATGACTTTACTGAATGTAGAGTTTGGAAAAGATACAGAGTTGTACACCATCTGACAAATACAATAAAATAAATTACCCCAAGAACACAGATAATAGTGAAATGAAGTAGAGTAACGAGGGCATGATGGAGTTTGAGTATGCCTTTTGTTTTCATTTGAATCTAATTTAGTTAATTGTAAGTATATACAAATTAATTTCTTTAACGGATCTGTTTACCAAATAGCTTACAAACTTCCTGTAGCTTAAGCACTCTAATATAGAATAGTTCCCTGTCAATATTTTAAAAACTGGTTTACTATCATTAAGCTTATAAATAAAAATGTCAGGAGGTTTTTAAATTTCAAACATTAGCATGTTAATACTTTACAAGAATACAGTAGTGATTTATACATTATTATTCATGTACTATGAATATGAAACGATTCCCAAGCCAAGATAATAACATATTTATAAAGCTTGTTTCATACTTAGCTACTAGTATGCATTTTATATAAAGCAGTTAGATATCTCGAGTATCCCCTGAATCAACATAATTTCCACAAGGTTGGCAACAGCCAAAGAATTAGATGAAATGAAAAATAATAATTAAAACCAAAATAATTAAAACAAATTTAAATTCTTTAAAATGTTTGTCATTTAGAGTGCTTAAGCTACTGCAACTTGGCTCTCTTCATGGTCTTTTTTAGTACAAAAGAGCCGAGTACTACGTTCTGTAACTTTCCTGGCTGACTTACAGCTTCCCACCAGATGCAAACAACAGTGAACCTACTTAAGTCAAGTAAACTTGACACTACTGAAATCTTTCAGACATCATGCAAAATCAAAAATGTTAATCCCAAGGAGGGGGGACAAAAAGGGGAAAAGCTCCAAAGCAAGATGACACACAATAGTAGGATAATCAGAGATAAAATAATTGCCTGGAAAGTTTTTTTTTAGGTATTTTTCTAAAGTCAACGAGACTTTTCCTCATTGCTGATATAATAAAATACTGGCAGAGGAAATGACACTTTTCAATGAAGAGTGGGGAGTATATGTCCAAGCTTGTGTGGGTCATAGTTGTTAAATGGCAGGGATTATGGAGAAAAAGTGAGCCAGCAGAAGGAAGAGGATTTTACAGAAGGGCATGTATTCTGTGGAAATACATTTGTTAAATCAACAAGAAATAGCTGACAAATGAAATAAGTATCTATACCTGTATTTATAAATAGAACAATCTGATCTTCCTGAGGCAAATTAGTTGACAAATACAGGATTTTTTCATTAACTTATATGAAACTAAATAAACATATCCGATTTATATTATCATGGCTGGAAAGCATAAAATCTATCTAGACATTTTTGTAATCACATATCAATTTTGATTGGGATCAAAATTCAGAGGCACAATCAATGAAGATTATTTCCGACAGCCATGATGCAAAGACCTGGCCTTCCCAGGCAGTGCTAATTTCATGATTTACTTACACACTTCCTGTGGTAGAGCTGCTATCAGTGAGGAAAGATCCATTAGTCCTTTCCATCTGGGCCAGCCTGAAAAATGAAAATAAAGAGGTTCCATAAGGTGGCCCCATTGGGCATGGTCAACTGAGGTACATTCTCTGTTGTTCTCAAACTGTCATAATTCTGACAAAATATGAAAAGGTCTAAATCTCCTAATAAGATTGGGAATTTAAAACAACATCTAATGTTCAGTGACCTCTCTATCACCACTGCTTTAAGGCTTGTCGGCCTTCATCTTTTACCATGCTATATAGACTCCTAATTCACCCAGGCTCCTAACTGATCTCCCAGGCCCTACAATTGGTCTCCATTCTCACAAATCTGATTATGCTCCTCTCATGTCTAAAGACTCACCATGACCCCCTTTACCTAAGACATAACCCAACTCCTTAGCAAGTGTGGCTTCATTATCAGACTTCAGCTTCTATTCCTTCACTCCTCACTCCTTTAAACAAGCCATGTTCTTTCCCAGCTCAATGCCTGTAAGTATGTTTTTCCACTAGTCTAAGCCTACCTTTTCCCAGAAATTCTATCTGGCCAAGATACAGTTCAAATGTTACTATTTATATGATGTTTGAACTAACCATTTTAGGAATAGCTAGTTGCTAGCTCCACAGACACTTCCTATATACACTTCTTTTCTGAAAGTTTGTGCAAGCCAGCAAGACCAGCCTGTACTCTATATTGTTTAAGGACTCTAAAATAAACCTCTGTAATAAAGCATTAGCATAAACTTAATTACATATTGTAATTCATATGTGCACCATCTCCTGAGAACACTTTCAGTTCCTACACTCATTCATTGAAATGGGTTATATTATCTAAATCCTGCTTGTCTAGTGTTTGGATTCTCATGAGCTCAATAATCACATCCCATGGAGATTCACTCTTCATGGAATGTATAGCAAGTGTTTGGTGAAGTGCAAATCACAACATGGAAAGATAAGAACCAAGATTCCAAATATAATGGAGTCACAACTCTTGCAAAACATCTCTTAAATCAAGGCATGTCAATGATAATAGGATTCATACAGCAATAGATACATTCTGGGTGGCTGCGCAGCGGAGGGCTCCTATCAAAGTCTCTTACCGTGTGGCATACTGTTCTATTCTGGAATGGGTGTCATCATGAAACAGCTGCGGAGACTGTGAGGGGCTATAAAAGAAAAAGCAAAGAAACAGTTTTATGCCCAAATATTGATAGACGTCACTATTAGGAATGTTAGCTTAGTTAAACAGTGAATTTGCCATGCAAACAAACCATGAGGATTGTTACCCAGGAGGCAGACTATTCTTTTAGTTCAAGAGTTTCATAATTACCCCCATGCTAATGACACCGATCAGAGTATCGGCTCCTGCAGATGGAGCTGTGAATACTCACTCATAGTGCTCCGGCCACATGCTGATGAGTGTGACAGGACTGCAGAGGGGGAGAGGGAAACAGAAGTCACAGAACTAGCACTTGAGAGCGATTGCAGACAAAAGCAGTGGGAGTCTGGGCGAGAAGACATTCTCAACTGTCTTCCACTCTCACGTTTGGTTGCCCTGAGGTACACCATGGGGAAATCAAAAGTAGCAGAAGTCCCTGTTTATTCTAGAGAAGAAGCTGCTCATTCAAGTGCCTGCAGGGGCTTTTCACAGATATTACAGGACATTTGTTACAGGAGAGCAAACGCATCTTTAAACAGTCTCGTTGAAAAAAAAAAGAAACAAAATGCTCTACAATAGCTCAAAAACATGGAATAATTGAAAAGATAATGCTCCACGATATACTGAGAGATGATGCAATCAGATTCTTGTTTTTCCTGGAGAAGAAACTTGGTCAGAAATTCCAAAGACTACATTATATATTGATGGCAGAGTTGCAATAAAATGAGATTTTTCTGATTCCCTGTCCAGTTTTAAATGTAAAAATTCAAACCCGAGTATGCACAAAGTATCTCAACCTCCCAGAGACGCTGAAAGAAGATGCTACACCTAGATCCTCTCCCCTACACCCAGCCCCAAATTTCACATTATCAATAAAGCTGAAAACAACCTGATGATGATACACTTTCTTCAAACAAAATTTTTTTCTGGAAGTTCAATCTATGAAAATGATAAGGAAATGTGTTCTTGCCTGAATCTGGAGCTTGATCCTTCAGTACCACTCCCAGCCCTGGGGACTCTGCAACCTCAAAAACTGCCTAGAAATCCTCACGTCTCCATGAAATATCTTTTGAAAACTGAACATAATGAAAAACACTACTTTTTTTTTTTTTTTTGAGGAGAGTGGGGTGAGGTGCTGATGAATGTGGGAATTTAAAAGTCTAAAGAAAATCAGTTCTTTATTTAATTAAATAAAAAGCCTCCCACACAAGCTCATGTTGATTGAAACAAAGAAGAAGGAAAGTTTAAATTATTCTAGATCCGCTTGATTCTGCTATTTCTATTATACATAGAAACTTAAGAAAAAGTTAATGATCTCATTAGCTGCTACTGGGAAGGACAAGTTAATGTCTGAATAACAAAGATTAAAAGGAGATGAAGGGCATCTTATTGGGCTGAAAAACTAAGACTATCTGGACCTACTTTCAAAAATAGGCATTAATCCAGTCTGTGTTTGTCAGAATATTTGTAAATAGACTTAATCATCCATGTATACGCTTGTTACAACAATAATGAAACAGCACAGTATTGTTCAATCGTCTTTTACATCATTACTTCTCCTGAACTCTGAGATATGGATGTTAAATGTCAAGTGAATGATTTGCTATAAACTTTCCAAAAAAATAGTAGCTACTCAAGAGAATATTTCTAAAATTCAAGTATACTACAACACCTGTGGCTAAATTTAAGCACAAGAAAAATATGTACTTTTGATCTTAACTGAACTCGGAAAAGCTTTGTGAAACTGCATGACTGGTTCTTGTGAGGTTAATTCAGTTAGCACAAAAGTGATTCACTGAACTAAGGTAAGAATGGCAGACGTAGAAAGCTGAACTGAAGTTCTCAAAAGTGTTTTATATATTGAGAACACAGAATTCTAAGAAAAGAAGTAAGATTTAAAAAATCAAACTTTAGGCCTCATTGACTTCAAAATAGTTTGATTTGTAGAAAAAAAAAGGTTAAGTGATAAATTTTCTCATTTAATTCTGGGAGATAAAAACAAGGCAACATCCCACTGCATAGTTAGAGTCTATAGTTAGAGAGGGTTCAAAATAAGACACAGTTAATAATGTAGCCTATCCCTGCTTTCCAGAGCAGGGGCTGAATGGGGTGTTTTGGTTAATCACACACTAATATGCAGTGAATTAGACTCTATTAAATATACTTAATATTATATAAAATATAATCCAGACTTTCCTTGAAGAACTTAATGATTCTTTCAATTCCTTACGCTTCCAGTCTTTTGCCTTCTTCAACCCATTTGCCCCAGAGTAGGTGGGGCCCCAGTGTGCTCTCACATATAAACCTTCAATGGTTCCCTACTGTTTTCAGGATAAAATCCAAACACCTTGGCACGATATACAAGGCCCTTCATTATGTGGGTCCTGCTTCTCTCCCCACTCTCATTTCTTGCCACTATTCCCAGCTTCCCATCCCAGTTTCCCAAATGATCTTGTCTCTGGGATTTTGAAAATACTTCCCTCACCTAGAAACTCTCCTTCTCCTCCTCCCACACCAAACCCTGCACGTCTGGCTCTATGAATCTTCCCCGTCTCAGTGTAGCTGAGACTTACTTTCTCACTTCCTCCTGGTCCATGAGTTGGTTCTTGCTCCAGTAAGAACTCAAAAGGACCATGAAACTCATCTATTCCACTTTAACCAATACCAGGCAGAATTGTCTATTTTACTTCTTTGATCTTTAGGGAAACCAACCTACCTTTTAGCCAATAATAATCTCTCACAATTCTCAAATGACTTTTATTTTTAGCTTGTTTCTTAGGTTTATTTTCTCTTTTTAAATTAACATATAATGTATTATTTGTTTCAGGGGTACAGGTCTGTGATTCATCAGTCTTACACAGTTCACAGCACACTGGGAGCACACGGGGGCCCCACCTACTCTGCAGCAAATGGATTGAAGAGTTATCATTGCTCACCACAGCAATGGTAACTCTTTAATCAAGTTCTACTCATTTATTTTGACTTATTTTTTGAAAACTCTTACACATATAGTTACCAAATTAACTGAATAAACCTAAGCATGGGTTTGTTTAGTAATAACTCATTTTTCTCCCAAATCCCCTCTATGTATGCATGTATAATTACTGGATAGGGGATAAGACATCACATTTTGCAGGGATGAAAGAGAAAGATGCAAAAGAAAATTCTAATCAGCTTCATAAATAACTTCAACACATTTACCACTTGACTGGTTTTTCTCCAATGTTCTCTCACAAATAGGAGAATAAACAAAATCAAACTTTACTACCCACTCACATAAATTGTTACACCAGAAGATTAAGTGGCCCTGTACTAGAAAGGGCTCAGCAAAAAAATGAACTATACTGACTTCAAGGATGCGTTCTAGAATTAAAAAAAGAAAACCTGCCCACTCTATCCAGTATTTCATAAATCTTTTTCAAAAAGCATCTTGTGACATCTGATTTAATCTTATACCCCTTCGTTTCTTTCTCTTATTTTCCTCTCCCTGAAAATGCGGGCAAATGGATGACAGACGAAATGAAGCATTTTCAGAATTACAGCCAAAAATCATAGCACAAAATTCTTTGGTATGCTTTTCTGTTCTTTTTCATCTGAGTGTCTTTAACTAAGTCACTCAGAATAGAATGATTGATGTCAATGATTATTTTGACATGAAAAGGCAAATTATCAAAAATGCATAAAAGGAGTATAAAAGATCGATCTAGATGCATGATTCATATGAAGGATGTAGATATTTGAAATGGGACACAAAATGCCAATGGTTTATCCTAAGAGTGAAAGGCGCATCACTAGTTCAAGCCTATCAAATTGTCCTGTAAACAAAAGCACTATGTGATCATTCTATGCTTCAGGCAGCTACTCCAAAGGTTAATTAGATCTGATACCAAGGGAAGTAAAATTGTGCGTTTATCATGGCGTGTTCAGCCCAGTTAAACTATATATTAGATAGTAAAACAAATAAGAATGTAAAATCATATAACCTTTTGAAGAAAAAGACAAAAATATATCCACAAAACAAAGAGAGAACCAAAAATCTACTTTTCCTTATGGATTTTAAGTATTTGAATAGCTCTCTGTAAATTGAAATTGCTCCAAAAAATTTTACTCTAAAATGTACTGTGGAAAAAATAACTGGGAGGCATAATATTTTAATTGTACACAGTTTGATATCGAGCAAAGTTATCAAAAAGTTACAATTTTTCTGTATGCTTTAAATGTGTGGTATTTTGGGATCTATCAACATACACAGTTGTGCACCCATAACATTATATACTGAGGGATCAAGTATCTACTGTGCTTTGGCTGTGGTCTTTCTTCTACTTCTTAGAAGTTCCACAAATCAACAAAAAACAACAACATACATTTGTACATAAACTCAGCAAAGTCAATGGTCTACAAAGCTTTATATGGAAAAAAAAAATCCAAGCTAAATAGTCTATCCCTCCATTTTGACATCTTTTGAGTCGTAGATTGTTCTAATACTAGACTATGACTGCTCTCTGCATATCTCTCATACACCCAATAAAATGAACTAACAGCTTTGAAGGTTAAAGAAAGAAAGACTGATTTCACAAAAATTGCACGCAACACACTTCTTATACTTCTCACTACAATTTTCTTTACAGGAGAATGTAGAAAACTTCACACTTCACACCTCTGAGCTTTTCTAGAGTCATTTGAGAGGGCATCTTTCTATAACTAGAACATCACTATTTTTATGACTAGGCACTTTGCTAATGATTAGCAATAAAAGTTAATTTTTCCCAAGATTCAAGCACAAGAAAATTGCCTCAGCAGGTGCATTTATGCTGCGATTTTGAAAAGTGATTCAAAGATTTAAAATCAGATCTATTTTGATCTTGATATATCATTGTTTAATGATTTAAACTTCTTGCATTTCTTCTGGCTTGCTTTAAGAATTCTTTTTCTTTTCACTTCAGGCTACAAGTTGTTATTTTTCTTTTCTTTATAATGCCATAGTAATTTTGCTATTTTGAGATTTTTTTGTTTCATTTATGTTTATAAACTCAAATTACATACTTTTAAGAAATTTTGCCTATTTTATGTACCTATAAAGCTATCTCGTTTTGCTGCCTTCATGCTCAAGAGAAAAGAAATTAAAAATACTTCATCAAGATTTTGATGAGATTTTAGCACAGGTATATATGAATCAAGATATTCAATATTATTAATAAATTTAAAGTAAAAACATGTAAAATAAGTGTAAAACATACTACATGAAATAGCAAACCCCTCCCCACAGGAGGAAAAATGGAAAATGAATAAAATCATGAAACAGTGCATGACACAATTGGCTTTAAGTATTTTTAAGAGGAAAAGAGATGACCAAGGCAAAGGTTGAACACACAGTAATACATATTTTTAAAGTGGAGGAACACTTTACCTAAAATTTTAGCTGTGGCATTGTCAAATCAAACAGCAAAAATTCATGTTGTGAAGACTGATTCCAAGGTTATTTACCTCTTTTAAAATGAAACATTTTGCGCGTGATGTGCTGAGCACCGGGTGTTATATTGACCTGATGAATCATTGAACATTATATCAAAAACCAATGATGTACTAATACCTTGGCTAATTGAATTTAAATAAAAAAATAAAGTAAAAATTTAAAAAAATGAAACATTTTACCAAAACACAAATTCTTTCTGGTATCAGATAATTTCTCTTGTATCATTAACATAATAAGAGACAACATCAGAGAAAAGGGTACATAGAAGTTTCAATATTAAAATTAAACTTACGTTTCTAAGTTGTCACCTTCAAGAACTGTCTGGACAGGCAGGTAGCCAAGCCGAGGATGTTTGGCAAAGTATTTCTTTGATCTGAACTTATTCTTCAGCACCTTTGTGAAGTCTCGTACATCTTCCCCAGATGTTGTCTAGGAAGTTGAAAAAATTGTACTTCTTTCATTAAAATGGAAGGAGATATCTAGCTATGATAAAATTCGAGTAGATATAAATGACAACAGTTTCAGTAGCTTTATGTATTTTTGGAACAACAAAGCATGTCATGAAATCACATGACAACCAGGACTCATTGTTAAATAATGTCCAGCAATCAGTTTGTAATTTTTTAATTTTCATAACTAGTTCATTTCCCCAATATTTAAAAAATTGGGCCAAAAAGTAAAATTAGTTTTGGTGATGTTATTGGTTGATTCCTATTAATAAAAGAGCTGTGATTTGCTATTAAGTGTGTTTAGTGATGATGAAGGATTTTGGATATAATACGGTTTTAACTAAAGTGAATAAATGAGGGTGAGCTATATAGCTCCTACTGACTTCACACAAGCCAGCATATATTGAAGTCTGGAAAAGGAGAAAGCAATAAATAAGAGAGAAGGAACAGGGCCACAATATTGTAAGAAATACTGTCAGTTTGTCTTTCCCAACCATACAAACATATAATTATTTGACATGGACTAAATTTGTAATGCGATATAAAATGTTACTCTTTCCTTGACCATTTCAAGATGATTATTAATAATCATTTAGGGTGAGGTGAGCTGAAATCTATCCCCACCCCATTCCCTCTTCCTATCCCATGAACTGTTCCCGAAGCCTCAGCTTCTTACTCCCTATCACCAATTCTAGTTTTTATTTACAATATGTTATACAGACACCAACTTCAGTCCTTGTGAAGAGGCCTTTAAAATATTTACATTACCTGCAGAGAACTGAATTAAAACCTTGTTCGTCTGACTCCTAGTTGGCCATTCAACCTAAACCTGGACAGACCTCACTCCTATCACTTTACAAAACAGAGAACTTTTCTATAATAACAAACCCAGTACTAAATACGCTGCTCACTTGCTGCCTGCCCCTCTCTCCTTGCACCCTCCCCAGTCCATCTTTTCCTCCATGACAAGCATGCCCGGGACTCACACAAACTTGTTTTGCAAACAGAAGCTTAAAAAATATAACTATTTTTTAAAACAACTAAATTCTGAGTCAGCCCTTATGTGGTTTTGTTGCTTTCCATCTGCTCTCATTCTACCTAAATGTGTCTGCTTCTAGTACACAATTAAGAGAACTTTTGATTCTCTAGGCTTGCAGAGCAGAGAGGAATAAGCCCAAGCTATTTATAATGTAAGCTCATCAATTTTAATTTTACTAAAAAAAAAAGTATAGCAAGGACCACCCACATCGTCACTAGGCCTTTGCCATCAGACCCACAGTGTCCAATCTTTTCTTGAATAACACAGAATAAACTATATAATGTCTGTAGTTATTTAGGTACAGATCCTTCCAAAGGTAAAGAAGAATTTTTTAGAAAATAAGCTATTAATGAAAAGAAAAAGAACCCAAGGCACTGCATAGAGGAAAAGTGTTGCTAAGAGAGACGATGGTTTGAGGGTACTAAGACCTAACCAGATAGAACAGGAGAAATAAGCAGAATAACATTTGGGAGTAAAGAAGGAAATTCTTAGAGAAGGGATGCCTGGGACTGAGAATAAAGCCAAAAGGACCTATCACCTTATAAAGGACATTTGGACCTCTGGTAATGGGTTTCACAACTGCGGCTCATTACATTTATAGATACGTTCTCCCTGAAATGTTTTGATAAAGAGGAAAAGAAGGGAAGAAGCTTTCCATGACAGAAATACAAAAAGAAGACCCCAATGCAAAGATAAGCATTTATGACTCAATTTATTTTTCTGTCTGCTCTTAACACCTTGTTAATATACAGAGAGATACGGAAGTACTGGCCTCCATTACCTGGTCCACCTTCCTCTGGCAATAAAAACGTTTTACCATTTAGCCCAGTGGTTTTCAAGCCATATCCAGGCTTTCAATTCAGGTAGCCCTGAGTGGCGCGGGTGGGGCAAAAGGCCAGGGGGGCAAGGTACCAGGACACTTACCAGTCGGCCTCCGCCAGGGCAGTATACAACACAGTGCTTTTTATATATTCACAGGGTTGTGCAACCATCACCTCAAAAAAGAAACCTTGTACACACTCGCGATCACTCCCACCTCCACCCTAACCCCGTTGCCTCCCCTTAGCTCCTGGCAACCACTAATCTACTTTCTGTATCTTGGATTTGCCTATTCTGGACATTTCTTATAAATGGAATCATACATACAGTCTTTTGTGACTGGCTTCTTTCACTTAACATAATGTTCTTCTAGCTTATCCATATTTAGGTTTCAACATGAACTTTTGCTTGGGGAAAAAATGACACATCATTCAAAAGTACACGTCCAATTCCACATCAAACATTCTTTAGCTAAAGACATTCCAGACATGGAAGAACAAAGCAAAACCAACTAACCAACAACCAAAAAACCCATCTCCCATGAAACAAAATACAAAAAACAAATAAAAAGTACCCACCTGCTTCCCAAAAAGTTATAGCAGGCGCTGAAGTTAATTGTGATGATGCTCAAATTTAGTATTTGAAAAAAAGAGTGCATTCTCATGCAGAAAAAAGCATATTTTTATTTCCTCATGAATTTTCATATCAAGGGGGAAAAAAACTTCCACCAATTACTTACAATCTAAACGCACTGAATTCACTAATGCCATAAACTTTATGTAATATTAAAAGAAAAAGTGGAAAGTAATTCAACCCACAAATACCAGGTCTTATATTCAGGTTAGCAAAATGTAATTCTTTAGTTGAAAGAGAGCCAAGAAAATGAATTACACCTATTTTCTCACCAAAAAAAAGTTAAAAGATATTTTTAAATATTTGGTCTAATTTGCTACCTAATATCTCTCTATTTCAAAGCACTAGAGCAACAGTTTGGTAAAAAGCAAAGAAGAGGACCACCCACCTAGCATAATGAATATAGTCAAATTCAACTCTATCTTCAAGCTAGGTATAATACTTTGTTCTCTTTCTTTTTAAAGCAAATAACTATTGATATTATGATCTGAGGATGAAATTGAAAGAATCACTCATTACTACACAAATTATCCAACATTTTAAGTTATCCATGTATTTCTTGAAAGACTAGGTTTTTATTTATTGCTGTTAAGAAAACAAATTAGGAGAAGAAAAGATTTTGTAGATCTCATTATATGAGACAAGGGGAACATAAGGGCATAGAACTCTGCACCTTATAAATAGCTTTCCTTCATTCTCTTTTTACCATCAAGGGTGGTAAGATTACCATTACTTTTTTGACCCCTCCAAAAGCTGACACCCAAGCTTTCAGACCTACAAGTCAGTAAGGAGAAAGCTGCTCTTGCAAACCTGGGTTTTTTCACTATACCAGCACTATATCCCTTCTCCTAGAAAAACGCAACAGTTCTAAGTTTTGTAAGAGAAAGAACCCATAGCCATTGACTAAAATACCTATTATTACATTAAGCTACCCTGTGGCTGATTTTTACCAATTCATATTGAGATGTCATTTTATGACTTTTAAATTGTATGTCCAAGACACGTTTTGTGTAAGTAGAATTAGAAAAAAATGACACATGAAAGAGAAAAAAGAAAAAATTAAAATTGCCTGCTCTTTGACCACCTAGGGATACTCACTCTTAAAATGTTTGTGACTGGACTGATTTTTTTAATTCTTTTTATTGTAAAACAAAACACAGATATATAAAACTATACACAACAAATGCATGGCTTAGTGAATATATAAGTGAATATGTAAGGCAAATACCATCCAGTCAGGAAATTGAACTTTGCCAGACATTCCAGAAGTCCCTTCCACATGCCTCGTTTCATCCCTTTCTTTCCATAATAACCATTATCTTCATTTTTATGAGCAACAACTACCTTGTGTGTAAAAAATACTTTTTCACCCCAAAGTCTATCCCTAGATACTTTAGTTGCTCATTTCAAAAAATCTGATATATTTTAACTCACTTTTAATCTACAGATTTCTCCTCCATACTTGCCATTTCCTTACAGTTTATCTGTTGGAAAACACAGGCAATTTGACCTAGCTAAACTTTGCTGATTGCATATTTTTGGTGCAGTTCAGCAAATTCTTCAGGCCTTTGGATATCCTGCAAACTGGCAGCTGAATCCAGAGAATGCATCAGCTTCAGGGATGATCTGGCAAGACTATCAGTAGTGTTCGGTAGGCACATGATGTCTGGTTATCATTCTTTTGTGAGCCTAGCAGATTTCATGCTAAATGCCTATATCCACTCAATGGGGGCTTCAAAATGGTGGCATTCTAATTCTATCATCCATTTTCACTTATTCGTTGAAATAATTCTATGAAGGCATGTCCCCTTGACCACTCTTTGGCCACTCAGTAATACAGTTCATTCAGGAAAGGCAAGATTACATGTTTGATTTTTCCCTTTTATTGACCAATTTTCCCAGTAATACATTCCTATCATTCTCCAAAGATGACCAATTTTTTAAAATTATTTTCATGTATCATTATGAACTTGTAGATTTTTAACATATTTGATGGGTTTTGGGTCCAATTATTATCATTATTGAAGATCAAAGTGTCCTATCTTTGGCCAGTAGGCGCCCCTTCCAGTTAACCCCACTTAGTTTAAGCTCTATAGGTAACAGTATATTTAATGGTCTCTACGTGTCCTTAGGATGTTACTTCTCCATTTATTTTGTTTTTCCTGGTCTTTTGTAAATCTTCAAGAAGTACTCATTGGACCAGTATTACCTGAAGTTCTTGTATGTTGGTGATAATTTTCCTGGGTCCTTACTAGATAGTAGAAGGCTGGTTTTTCTCAATATAAAATCCTTGGCTCACACGCTTTTTTCCCCTGAGTTTCTTAAAAATGTCCTTCCATTTTCTTTTGGTATAAAGCTTTGCTGCTGATTATTTAATTTTCTTTCCTTTTAAGTCACATTGTTCCTTTTGTTTAAATGACTGGAAGATTTTTTTCTTTGACTTTGAAGTCCAGTAATTTTATCAGAACATATTATAGTATTGGTCACTCTGAGTCAATGTTCTCAGGCATGTGATATAC